ACCTCCAAACAGCTTCTAGCCTATAAATTCCCACTTGCCCATGCTGTATTCAAAGTTGAGCCCAATCTCTCTCTCCTACTTCATTGCAGTAATCCCAGTACCTATCATGATGGTCTCGAATAAAATCTTCCTTCCTGTTATAATAAGTATCACTGAATAATTTTTTAACGCCATAATGTTTTAAATGTTTAGAGGAACATATTTGTGCGTTATTTATGGACTTAATATTTGAAAATACTGAATGAAATTTATAGAGAAAACATCTGATATACAGTAGGCTTTCATGAACTCTTTGTGATGGTTAGTTTTATTTGACAACTTAACAGAGGCTAAAGGATGCCCAGATAGCTGGTAAAATATTATATCTAGACACATCTGTGAGGGTATTTCTAGAAGAGATTAGCATTTGAATCACTACACAGGAGTAAAGAATACCACTCCCACCAATGTGGGTGAGCATCATCCCATCTCTTGAGGGCCAGACTAGAGCAAAATGCAAAGGAAGAGCACATTCAGTCTCTCTCTGCTTGACTTGGGACATCTCTTCCTGCCCTGAGACAGGAGAGCTCTAGTTCTCCAGCCTTCATACTCCAGGACTTTTCCAGCACCCCACCCCATCCTGTCCTGGTTCTCAGACTGAATTACACCACCAACTTTCCTGGTTCTCCATCTTGCAGAGGGCAGATCATGGAACCTCTCAACCTCCATAATCATGTGAGCCAATTCACACAATAAATCTTTTATGTATTTATATATATCATTTTGGTTGTTTCCCTGGAGAACTCTTAATACACTCTCCCTCCACCAAAAGTAATTAATACCTTCGGTTTAAAACATGGTAAACAGATCCCAGCGATGTATCCCATGAAAATGAAACGATACATGGCATACCGAGAACGGGGACTTACAGGGTAAAAGGGACACAGAGTATAGGAAAATGGAAGGTGTGGGCAGAAATGGCACCGACCAGACAAAAATGAGATTAGGGATGGCAGTCTGAAAGTAAAGAAATACAACGAAACACTCCATGGAAAATAGAGAACAATGATACCATAACTATTCTGTTTCTGAGCTTCTACTACGTTCCAATCCGTTCATATAAAATATATCATTTAGTTCTCTAAAGCAACGGTATTATTATGCCCATTTTACAAGAAGCCACACTGAAGCTCAGAGAGATGGAGAGATTCGTCAGAGGCCCTGTCGCTGACGGTGAATGCAATAGCCACTCAAACCCAAACCTGCTCTCTTCTACCATGCTTCAGCGAATAATGCGAAGGAGAAAAGAAAAAAATCAGGAAAAACATATAGAGGTATTCAAATCCAAACAAACGATCAAACAAAAGATCAAAAACAAAACAAAACTAAAAGCAAAAAGCAAAAAAACCCAAAACCCCTGTAGAAAGTCTGCGTGTGCACTGAAGGCCGAGGTGTTGATTTATTTGCTACAGAGAGGGGTGGGGGACGGACGGAAGCGGTCGGGTCCAAAGCGCTCTCGCACTGAGTCCTCAGAAAGCACAGAGGCGCAGCCGGCGCAGGGCGCACGGAGAGGACCAAACCTCCCAGCGCCTAGAAAGGCTCCAGCGCGGCGAGGAGGCGGGGTGAGCGGCGCTTCCGGTTCCGGGCGCAAAGGCCCCACGTGTTCCGACCCGCTAGGCCCCGCGCGGATCGGATCCGGAGGCGCTGTTTCGGCCAGGATTGGGTGGGGGAGAAGCCGGGGCAGGGGAGGAGCCGCCGGAGCTGTCGGAGCCGTGAGTGCTGGGGGGCTGGGCCGGGTCGGGCGGGACCGGGTCGGGTCCGGCCGAGCCGGGCAGGGCGGGGAGGAGGGGGAGGGACAGGAGACCCCGCCCCCCAGAGCTTGGGGAAATCGTTCTGTCCCGGGGAAGGGGTGGCGGCGGTGTACTGAGGGGGCTGAGACGTTGTGGCGTCCCTGTCTCTTGGTGGCCAGAGCCAGAACCTCCGGGGATGTGGATGGCGCTCCGGGCTTCCTTCTCTTTCCAGCCACTGCCCTCCGCCCCCTCCTGGGGCCTGCAAAACGCAGTTAGTCCGTACCTCCTTCCGCGCCAACTGCCCCCCCGGAACCGAGGAAGGCGTGGTCTAAGCCCCTTTATTTCCTGCAGCCTCTTCTCGCCCCGCCTCTCAGATTGCTCAAGAATCCTCCCCGCAGGTTCCCTGCCTGGATGAACCCCATCTCCTTCCACTACCAACCTCCCATGCCCTCCAGCATACATGCAGATACCCTCACCTGTGATCTTATCACCTGTGATCATACTAGGCCCTGGAGACCACCTGGCCTGTGGCTTTTCAGTTGCCACTTTGACAGACCCCAAGCTTCCCTTCATGCCAATAGCTGCTGTCTCCACTTGCAACTTTCCTACTCCCCCTACCCCAACAGCCAATTTTGGCACCTCTTCTCCGCACCATAGTTAACCTTCAGCAGGAGTATACCTGCTTCTTGTCTGTCTTGACTTAAAGTTCGTATGTCATGAATATGCTGTATTCTCTCAGAAAGGTGTCAGCCCAGTTATTTTTCTGAGCGATGGATGTTTTCATCTCTTAGGCGCTTTGATAACCCTGTCTGCCTTAGAATCTGTATTGGCCTCTCCAAAGGGAGTCTCTTAGGCCCAGCCTTTCTTGAACCGCCTTGGTCCTGGGGAGCAGGCTCTTGCTTGGAGGCTAGGCTTAGAACTGTTGCTTTTTCTCTGTCCACACTCTGCAGGTGACACCCAGGGCAGCTAGTGGAGTCCCTCATCTGTCCCATCTTCTCTTCCAAGCCACCCCCTGGGCCTTGATCCAGAAAGCTCCTTCAGAAAGGTGGAATAGCCGAGGGAGGCATGTTGGTGGATGTGTGTGACAGCAGAGCTGTTAGGGTTTGTGGCCATTTGTCTTGGATAACTTTCTATTACTATCTAGCGTAATAAGATGGGCAGGGTTGGAGGGAGGATGGGAATTTTTCCTTCTAGAACCAAACACCTGGGATTCATAATCTTTCCCCCTTTCTCCTCCAGCCATACCCCTTTTTGCACTCTGTCTCTATACTATATTGTGGTAGACAATCATTTCAAAGGCACTGCAAGGTTTACCACAATGTGAGGGACTCTTGGTCATAACAAACTACAGATGAGGTAAGTTACAGGTTTACAACAGTTTTTTCCCCCCAGTTAATTTGGCATAGACATAGGACACATAACAGTTGTAGACTATTCCTGCTATTCACCACCTATTCACCACTATTCACCATCAAACCCTCCTTTAATTTAATTTGGCCAACACTGGAAAAGTTGGTTCCTTTCTTCATGAACCTCAGATTTACTCCCTTTGTCTAGTGGTTCTTAAACTTACATCTTAAGCACAGGAAGGACTTATTAAACACAGATTGCTGGGGCCTACCCACTGAGTTTGTGATAATAGGTCTGGGCTGGGGCTTAAGAATTTTTAGTTCTAACAAGGTCACAGGTGCTGGTGCTGCTGATCTGGGTTCCTCACTTTGAGAATGACTTCCTTTGGCCAAATGTGACATAAACATTGCAGTGGTTTGGGGACCAGAAAAGCTGTTTAAGTACTTCTGTGCTGGAAACTAGTAATCTGATCTTTTGTGGGTAATTTAACCACTTAGGTCTGAATGCTTTTGTTGTAAAATTAAGACAGTGTACTACACACACACACACAAAAAGCCCTGAATGCTGCATTATCTTTTGACAAATTTAAGAGAAAATATTAATGAGTTTTTCCCCTTGGTTTTCTTAATTCTCTTGACAGAGGCTTCCCATTTTGATGATATGGATTACACCCATGCTGTAGGTTTTTGCTGTGAATTCCTAGTATTGCTAAAGTCCCTGTTATTTCTTAACTACTTTTTAAGTTCCTTAAGGTCAGAGCTTATGCTTTTTCATCTTTCTATGCCCAGCACCTTAAATAGTGTGGGACACACAATCGAAACTCATTAGATATTTGTGGATTGAATGAACTGTATCCCTTGCCCTCCCCTCTTGAAAAATTTTTCTCCACTAATTTTATGCCTCACAGTAAAGTAGGATATGGCTGTGCCACCTGATTTTCCCAAGAGACTGGAACAAATGCTAATGCCAAATTCCCACAGTTATCACTTTGAATGGTTTATTACTCAGAAGCCCTGACACCCACTGATTTCTGAATTTTCAGTGCTATATACAAGTTGGGGGAAGAGAAATAGAAAACTTAGTTACATTCCATGCATTTATTGAGCACCTTTTCTACCAAGTACTTGACAAAGTGGTAAGCACTGGGAATACAAAAATGAATGAGATCCTTGCTTTCTAGGGAGGGCTCACAGTAGGGAGACAGACACTAAGGTATGCTCACCACAAAAATGACTTCTGGGTTTACTTCTTTGTATTGTGATTTAGTCTTCAGTGGAGATCTGGTACTCCTCAGATTCTGTGGGTCAGCAGGCAGGGGTCCCATGCTTTGTCATCTCATCATATGCAAGGGAGCCTTGGGCAAAACAAGAAGGAAGTCATATAGACACGGTCATCTCAAAGCTAAAAGCATAATAAATGACTTTTGAACTGACTGCTGTTATGAATTATCTGTTTCAACACCTAAGGGCAGACTGTGTTTATAATATATGTTATCCTGTTATTTCCCATTAAATGATGGTTCCTCTCACTGTGTGATTGGCATTGACTATGTGAGTTGTAGGAATTGAATACATTTAATTTAAGTCTGGCTGCCAAGTGTGAGCTGCCACTCTCATCAGGGTAGATGTTAGATTTGTTGTCCTCTCCTTTTCCTGTTTCAGATTAGTATGTGATGTTTTGTTTTAAAATGAGGTATATTGCCAGGCATGGTGGCTCATGTCTGTAATCCTAGCACTCTGGGAGTCTGAGGCGGGAGGATCACTTGAGGTCAGGAGTTTGAGGTTGCTGTGAGCTAGGCTGACGCCACGGCACTCACTCTAGCCTGGGCAACAAAGCGAGACTCTTTAAAAAAAAAAAATATATATATATATATATATATATATATATATTTGTAAATGGAGATGTATAGATTGACCTGCTTTATTTAGGCCAGTAACTGCTTCTGGGTAATATCCCTTAAGGTTAAAAAGCCTAGCTTCTGTTGTTGGATAAGCAACATGATCATGATGGCCAAGTATTTAATTCTGACTTCCTAAAATTTGTTTTGGCCTCTAGCCCTTCTCAGCCAACTCTTGAGTAAATCCCTGTCAACATGTTAGGCTGGTACATTATGGCCCAAATACTCAGCAAAGGAGCCATATGTCTTTGTTCCTCTCAAAGCCCTTCCTTATTACCATCAACAAGCTGAATGTTTTCTCAGAAGGTGATCCTGTTCTCTGCCTTTACATACAAAATCATCCCAATTTTCAAGGTGAGATAATATGACTTGTCCAAGATGAGCAGGTAGAACAGGGAGCAAAACACAGGTCATCCACCTCCAAAGGCAAAGCTCTCTACTATTGCTTAATTAGGTCTGCTGTATGTAATATACAAAACATTTTAATTAAAAATAAAATGAATTGTTATTCATTTTCATGTTTACATTTTCTTTAAATGACATTTTTATACCCACCTTGTACCTTGATGCTGACCACAAAGTCTAACCACATTTCAGGGCAGAAGATACTTGTGTTTTAGCCTTTACTGACTTCCTTGTCCCATGTGCTACTTATTCGGCCTCTCTCTTTTTATTTCTTTTTATTTCTTTCTTCCTGTCTTCCCTTTGTCTATACTTTATTCTGTTTTTTAAAACCCATTGTAATAAGCTTTGAGCTACTTCTCCTCTTGCTACTCAGATATTACTTTTATGAAAGAAAAAAACAGAGGTGGCAAAAATATTTTTAAAGAAATAGTGTTAAAGCATGGTTTGAAGCATACTGATCATCATGAATTAGGAGACCAAAAGTCAGAATGTATTCCCTTACATTTCTTTTGCTATCTAGGTTAAGTTTTCTTATGACTTCTTGGGTTCTCTAACTGGGTTTGCCTCAAATTGCCTCCTGCCGGTTACAGGGAGAGGAGAGGACTTTTATACTGGAAAACAGAAGCGTTGCTGATACAGTCTTGGGCTGGAGAACCTGTCTTTAAGTTTCCATCCTGTCTTCCAAGGCTTTCATTTAATCTTACTTTATAAATGCCTGCAAAACAAGAACTGTTTTTTTGGCTTCACACTTTACTTTTGATATACTAAACAAACCAAGATTTTCCCTGTGCATTCTAATTTTTTCTTGTGATTAAGAGTGGTTTGCTTATTTATTATTTAAATAAATAATTTACCTTCTTTTCAAAAGAATTTAAAACAGCTTGAAAGAAAAGAGTAACATAATATATTAAGCATCCACCCTATGCCAGACTCTATGCAGATGGATTTCTGTAGGGTACTTTATTTACTTCTTAAAACAACCAAGTGAGGTAGGTAGTATTAGCCACATTTTGAGGATAAGACTGAGGCTTAGAGAAATACTGTCACATGGCTAATAAGTGAGGGTAAGGATTCAACCCAGGACTCCAAAGCTCCTTACCTTTACGTGGAAAGCCTAGGTAAACATTTGTGTATAGGACAGTTAAAATAAGAATAAAAGAAGGAATCTTTCCTAGAAGGATCATACTGGATAATCTTTCATTTTAAAGAACAGCAGCAGCATTGGAAAGGAGCAGTTATTGGTTTTCATTAATTGATTTCTATTCTCGAACAATGAGAGGAGCTGTTGAAAGGCCCCAGTTAGCCTCAGCAAGCAGTCATACTCGAATTTCTAGATTATGGGCCTGTATTAAGGTAAAAGATAAGAATGGGGACTGGAAAGGATATAAATATCTGCTAAATGTCATTGAACTTAATGACTGTTTTCTTCTGAAGATTAATTATTTGACAATAAATAGAAAGATCACCATCTCTCCTTTAGATAGCTATGACTACAAACTTTGTCATTTACGATCCGGAAAGATCACCCAAGCTAGTAGCATTTTAAGGTAAAGAACTAGATACTCTGTCATTGCCTGTGGTTTGCTGCTCTTGTCAAGAGAATTGAGTTTGGACCTTCACTGCCATGTGACACTTTCAATTATGGGGTAGAGACAGCTGGTCTGAGGATTGTAGAAGGTCTTGCCTTCCTCGTATCTCCTCTCCAACCCTGCCCTGTGCATCCTTGGACACACTCAAGAGACGAGAAAGAGACGAGGTCATGAGGTCTGCCAGGTAGGCTCGTGAAGCATCTTTGCAGACATTGTTTTAGCGTCTTCTGGAACCAAGTCTTTTATTTTTTCTGACCTGGTTTCATATTTTTTCTGTAATATTCTGTTCAGTTTTTATCTCACTATGGAACCCTTCCAAGGGCAGACATTAAAGAAAGGTATTAGAATAACAGGGGCAACAAATTGTAAGACATATATGTGATATAGTACATTCTGTAAATTATAGAATAAAAACACATCCATGTTCTATCTAATTAATGTTAATACTTGACATTTACCCAGCACATTTTATTTTATAAAGCTCTCACATCTCAGATAATCCAGTGAGTTAGAACAGTAGATATCTGCAGAGGACTTTACCCTTTGCAAGGGCTCTTTGTATGGTATTTCACAAAACTCTTAGAGTAGTGCCAGTTACTTGGGAATTTGGGGCTTGGACACACATCTTTGGGTACCGAGTGTGGTGCTGTACTTACCTCAGCAAAGACTCCTCTGCTCTTCGTTTCCATTGTTGTTGATCTGTTTTCTATTTTCCTGCATCTTACCTTCCTAGGCTGCCAAAGTAAATGCAAAGCAAGCAACAGAAATCTCAATTTGTGATTTCTGAAGGGCATTTTTAAATGACAGATTTTGTGTGGCACTATTGTAAATGTTCTAAGAGTAAGAGCCCTTCTGTTAATGTATACGTTATAGAATCCATAGTACGGAATCTCTTGAGCCTAGTGCTACATGAGAACAATGAGGGTTCCTATTCTACTTCACTGGACCTTGGTTCTCAGACTTTAAAGATGATAGAGATCCTTTTATTAAGCCAAAAGACCCTATGTATTAATTCTTTCTTCTCCCCACTTTACGGGGGTAGGGGGAGTTGGAGGCTTTGTCCGCATAAATAATCCATATCATAGTTGCATTAAATACTCAGTGTCTGGTTTTATGCTTATTAAAGTTGATTCACATCCTCAAAAGAAATGTTTTTTTTTTTTTTTTTTTAATGCCCAGTTTTGTGTCACTTGCATTTGGATTGTCCCCAGGACAACATGAGGATTCCTTGTGATAAGTTTTGGTTCCATCACTTTGAGAACCACTAAGAATATTCTGTTTTACTCACAATCCAAACAATAAATGTTTTTCCCCTATTTATTCATTTATCCAGCACACAGTTTGCTGAATGAATTAATGATTAATATGACATGGTATCTATCCTTCCAGAAACAGACTTAAAAAAAACTTGAGTGTCTCTGCATTCATCAAATATGAAGTGAGTACCTGTTGTGTTCCAGACATCAAGCTGGGCATAGCATGCCCCTGCCCTCAGAGCATTATATTCCACAGAGTTTAGCAAGGTGAACAATTTTTACAACACAAAAAATAGATACATATGCATGCTGTGATATGGAAAAGTACCAGTTTCTATGGAAGCATTATCTGGGAGGATGAAGAAAGACATCCTGGGAAAACTTGAAGTATAAGTAGAGGTAACCACGTGAAGGGAGTGGAGAAGGATATTTCAGGTAGAGGGAACAACATCAGGAAAGGCCAGTGAGGGCATAGAAACAGAAGATAGAACAGTAATTCAAGCATTGGCTTTCAGTGGGAGTGGCAGTAATGGGAGAAAAGAGAGGTAGGCAGGGGCCAGGTGTTGAAGGGCTTTGGGTATCGGGTGTTAAGGAGTTTAAATTTTATCCTAAGGACAACATGAAGCCATCAGCAGATTTTATATGTTAGGAAGTATTGCAGGTAGAACTAATGTGGATGGTCCTCCTGCCCATTATTATAAAAGACCTGTGCCTGCCTGCCCATTTTGTCTCTCCCTTCTTCCCTCTCCCTCAAAAATTAAAGATAAGTTTATAGATTCCAGAGGAGAGAGAAATAAAAGCTAGAGGAGTAAGTATAACTGACTTCACCATGATGCAAGGAGATTTCAAACTAAAATAAGGTAGCTAGGGTTGTGGATTTATTATCAGTGCTCCAACAAGGAGATAGGACTTGGGGAACTGATAGAGTGCAGAGGTTATGGAATTGAGAAGCCTGTAAACCTGAAGCCTAGTGGAGCTACACCTTCTGTGAAAATTTTCCTGGTGACCCAGGAAAAGTGCAAGGTTTTCTGTAGCCTTGGGTAGGACAAAAAGCACTTGACAGCATAAGTCCAAATAATACACTAAAAATATGATTTAGGAACACCCTGAGAAATTAACCGAAAAACTGATCCAAGATCATTGAAACCATTAGCAGATAAAAACAAATGAAATTCCCTTCAAAGGGCTCACTTTTACAATCTAGGGCTCTGAGGGCTCCCAAAGAAGAAAACAATCTCCCTGAAGGTGGGCATAAAATAAAAAAATTACAAACCACTTGAGGAAACAAACCAACATGAAGTAGAGAAAGGATGGGGAAAATAAGTACACGAAGATCTAGGAATTATGGAACTATCTAAAATAGACTATGAAAATATATTGCAAATGATCGAAGATAATGAAAAAGTGAGATAACATGAATGAAAAGGGATTTGAGAATAATAATATGGTCATTGACTAAAAATTCATTTGATGGGCAGCAACAGATGAGACACAGCTAAGAGTGGACTGGTGACCTTAAAGGTGGATCTGAGACAATTGTAGTATAACAGAAGAAGATTGAGAAATGAAGGAGCCTGCAGGCTACATGTGGGCATTGGTCTGGAGGGGACCAAGGACCACAGGACCAAGATAACCGGTCATGAAACTCAAAACTAAGTAATTTATTCAACATCAGTGACTGTTATGTTCCAATGCTGTTTATGTAGTGAGAATATGGTAATTTTTTAAAGATCCTATTAATACCTACTAGTAGGTAATAATGGCTCAACCAGGGGAATGGCAGTGGAGATGAAGAAATGGATGAATTTGAAAGACATTTTCAAGAAGGTAGAATTAACAAGACTTGGTGAGTAAGAAAGAGAATAGAAGCATAATGGAGGAAAAGTTGCTTCTTTCTGTTAAAGTGGAAAGAAAATTTCAGAGTGGAGGTTTATTTTAAATGCATTATTTGTGTACTTTATTACAGGTATTGGAGATTGATGGAAAACATAGTTTCTTCAAGGAGTTTTACAGGAAAGATTAACAATGGGTGTGTAGTTGACGGTTACTGTGATAGAGATGTGCCCATGTTGCTGTGTAAGCAGTGAGGTGATTTCTAACCATACCTAAGGGTAGGGGCTGGGATCAAAGAAAACATCTCAGAGGACATGAAGCCTGAGCTATGTCTTGAAAGATTAAAGTTTAACATAACCAAGGATAAAGAATCAGAAGGTATAGCATATTCAAAAGCTCAAGAGTACACTCTGGTGTGCTTTGCATGCACACGCATGTATATGTATGTGTGTGTCTGGAAGGATTGGGGAGGAGGCAAAGGGAATAACAAGATGAAAGTTGGCCTGATATGTAATACTTAGAAGTTTTCCTTATAAGAGAGAAAGAAGTGGTTGAAGGATCTTAAATAGGGAAAGGACATGATTTGTCAAAAGCGCTTATTCTGGTTATACTGTGAATGGTAACTTAAAGGTAACAAATCTGGAAACATGTAGGTTGCATTTGGAGGCAGTTGCAGTATCCAGGTGAGAACTGATAAGGACCTATAAACTATAAATCATGAGAATGAAGAAGAAATAGGGACACACCATGCAGCATTTTAAGGGGGTAGAGAGTATTCCATGTGGAAGCAACAGCCTTCAGAAAAGCATGGAGGCCTGAAAAGGCACCCTGTTGTGGGGAGATTAGCAATGCACGCATTCTAGCTAGGTAGATCTGAGGATTGGAAAATAGATTGGGAGCTGATTGTAAAGAGCTTGGAACTGATCTTACATCAAGAAATCATTTAATATGGAGTAATGTAGTTGGAAATATAGAAAGATAATAGGTAATGTTGTTGGGTGCCATCACACTTCTAAGCACTGCAAAGATACTAATAGAGTGAGTCCTCATAGTAAGCCTACTAGATGTATACCATTACTATCTCCATTCGTTAGACAGGGTAACTGGCACAAGGGAAATAAGAACTTGCCCATGGCCCAGGGATTCCGAGTAAGCTACAGAGCCAGGATTCAGGCCCCGGCAGTCTGACTCCAGGACTCAACTTCACACACCTCCCTTGTGGCTGGAACTGCATGTAGCAGTTGCCTGGATTGACTTAATCAGAATGTCCAAAGAATAATTTTTTTTTTTTTTTTTTACTGTGTTTGCAAAAGCTCCACAAGTAATTTCGTTGTACTTTGTTCATGGTTGAGTACTGTAGGGCTCCTAGTTAGGAAGTTATGGCAGTATTTCAGGCAGGAGAGGATGAGAGCTCAAACTAAAGTAGTCTGTAGGAAGGAAGAGGAGCCAACAGATTTAGAAACTTAAGGGGGTAAAATTGGAGGTATTCATGAAGTAGACATGCAGTATTTTCCTATAGGGTATGACCCTCACCCAAGAAAGGGAGTAGAGGACCATACATTCAGTTGTACATTATCCTCTGTCAATTAGATCCATTTCCAACATATGTTTATGGAGATTGGGGGAAAGGGGATTTAATCATTTGAAGAAGTGTTATGTATAGAGGATTGTGATTAAACCCAGAACTGTTATCCTGGTAGACAGTTTCATGCTTATACTATTGTCTGTCTTTACTTCTGTACTCCAGGTCCCTCAAGGTGTCCAGGCTGAAACTGGGGAGTAATGACAGTGCGAGCGCTTGATGGTGTGAGACCACCCCAGAGCCAGGAGATGGCTACAGCCTTGGAACCAGAGGACCAGGATCTTTGGGAAGAAGAGGGAATTCTGATGGTGAAACTGGAAGATGATTTCACCTGTAGGCCAGAGTCAGTCTTACAGAGGGACGACCCTGTGCTGGAGACCTCCCACCAGAACTTCCGAAGATTTCGTTACCAGGAAGCAGCAAGCCCTCGAGAAGCTCTCATCAGACTCCGAGAACTTTGTCATCAGTGGCTAAGGCCAGAGAGGCGGACAAAGGAGCAGATCCTCGAGCTGCTTGTGCTGGAACAATTTCTTACTGTCCTGCCTGGAGAACTGCAGAGCTGGGTGCGGGGCCAAAGGCCAGAAAGTGGTGAAGAGGCAGTGACGCTGGTGGAGGGTTTGCAGAAACAGCCCAGGAGACCAAGGCGGTGGGTGAGGAGGGGGAGTCCTGATCTGTGTGATGTGGAGGGGGACTATTTGCTGGAAGGCTGGATTTGGGCGGGAGGCTTACATGACCCCCATAAATTATCTTTTCAATGTAATGGGCTCTGCCTTTGGGTTGCTCCTAGGTCCATGAGCCCAGTGGGTCAGGGTTTTGTGTGTGTGTGTGTGTGTGTGTGGAGTATGCCTTCCTGGTTTTGGAAACACCTGCCTTAGGATCATCAGGAACCTTAGGCACCCAAGGATCATGGCTCTGGTCTTGCCTTCTTTGCATGTTGAGCCTTGGGTTCCTGGAGAGGAGAATGTGTGACTTCCTCAAAGGTTTTCACAGACCTTCAGTCACAGATTCCACCCTCCAGGACGGTAAGCTAGGGAGGCAGGCAGCAAGGACTGCGGCAGGTGGGAGAGGTGAAGGCAGAAGGAGGGTGCCTTAGAGCCTTGGGTGACAGGGCAAGGGCTGAGGGAGGTGAGAAAGTGGTGCAGTACCGCGTGTCCCTGCCTTGTCCTGGTGAAGATAACTATCTTCAGCTCCTCTTTGCATGCCCTCATGCAACTGGAGTTTCCACTCCTCATCTGGGTCTCTCTGGGAGTTTTTCTCTAGGCAGCTTCTCCTAAAGTAATAAGCCCTGATGACAACCAGCAATTTCCCCCGGACTCCATGGTGACTGGAAATTGGAATTATTCCCAGGTGACTGTCCATGTTCACGGCCAGGAGGTCCTGTCAGAGGAGACAGTACATCTAGGAGCAGAGCCTGAGTCACCTAGTGAGCTGCAGGATTCTGTGCAGACCTTGACTCCTGAGCAATCCCATGATGAAGCCACACAGAGCCCAGATCTGGGGCCACCAGCAGAACAAAGCCTGTGCCAGGAAGAGGAGCTCCAGCCGCTACAGGAGAGCGGTGGGAAGCCTTGGCAGGAAGTGGGGATTGTGGCAGAGTGGGGGCAGGGAGGGGGTGTTTCTCCCATACCAAGGTAGACAGTAATGGGAAGAAATCATAGGACCCAGGATGTCAAAAGGAGATGGTCCCAGCTAGAGTCCCCATAAACACTTCCAAGCTGAGACAGTCATATTCTTGGTGGTTCTCTTGGCATTCTGATGGTCTTATAGGTGGTGGGGCTGGGATGACTTAAGCTGCCCTTGGGCCAGTTTCTTGATTCCCATGACAGGGAGAGCGGGGTCACCTTCCTATCAAAGACAATGGGGAATACTCAGCTTTTGCCAGTTATCAGGGTATACTGCATATTGCTAATCTTTGCCATCTTTTCTTAGAGGTCCCAATGCCCCAGGACCCAGACCTTCCTGCAGAGAGGAGCTCTAGAGACCCAGAGATGGTTGCACTTCTTACTGCCCTATCACAGGTATACCCTAGTTCCCTCTACACCACAGAAAATTTATTTGAAGAACCATTAGGCATTAGCCATATGCTAAACAGGTCAGGAAGGATGCAAATACACATTCTTCTTTTGCCAGTTGTAAGTTCTCAGTTCTGCAGGTGCCTAGAAGGGCTTGAAGAAATAATGAGATAAATTATAATAGTCTCCATTGGATCTGCAAGCCCCAAAGCCTCTATTTGCCATTGATCAGGACTAACAAAATGGGATTATTTTATAATACTCCAGTACAACTTTGAAGTTGTTAAATGAGGATATTTTTGTTTTTGTTTTTTTAGGAATAAATTTGATAGTCATTTGTAAGAATGACTGACATGACATTTCTGGAGTATTCATCATGTTCAAAGCCCTGAAAGTAAGCTATATAGCTGGAGAAAAAGCTATGTGTTTTTAGCCTGTAGTCTAGCAGGGCGGAAAAGTCCTATTTTTGCTTTAGAATATAAATGATAAAGGTGATTTTGGTCCGTTAAGGAAAGTTCCTAAAAAAGATAAATTGTTGCAGAAATGTAGGTTGCATTAAAGCATCAAATGGGGAATAGAATGATGACTTTTAAGACTTTCCTTAAATTTTAAGCAGTACCTTAAAAAAGAAGAATGTAAGCTAGTCCTGAGAGAAAGCAGTGGAGTTGGGGGAAGAGCCAGTGCAAAGCCATGACAAGGGGACCGACAACTTCCTTGAGAAGGGGTCCAAGCAGCCCATTTGAGATCTTTTCTTCTCTTGGATGGATTCTGCCTATAATAATGACCTTCATCCAGGGACAAAACATGAGGCTACCTGATGCATCACATTTTGATTACATCCTTGTATTATTTCAGGGACTGGTAACTTTCAAGGATGTGGCCATATGCTTCTCCGAGGATCAGTGGAGTGATCTGGATCCTACACAGAAAGAGTTCTATGGAGAATATGTCTTGGAAGAAGACTGTGGAATTGTGGTCTCTCTGTGTAAGGAATTTCGAGTACTCTAGAGCATTCTGAGCACAGAGATCTTTTTCCTGCTGGTAGATAGAATGCACTGAACTTCTTTTTTGCCTACCCCACCAATGAAATTGAGGGATTAGCTGAAGAAGAAGATGATATCTTTCCAAGTTAAAGGGAAGAGAAAATGCTTGGAAATGGAAACCTCTAATAAGAAAATAAACTTAGACTATTATAGCTTTAGTGTAGAAATATTTAAGATAAGTATATGAGTTTGAAATAAGCTGTAAGAGTTGGAGATGATCTACTTTCTTGAATAGGAAAAAAGAGGATAAGGCCTATGGTGGTATAACTATTGAGTTCCAGGTGAAAGACACAAGAAGGGAAAGAGATAGGCAGTGCTTGGCTAAAAGTGCTCAAGCTAAAATGACCAAAGAGTTGATCAACTCAGCTGGCTATATATTTACTCTACAACCTACCAAATCAAAAAGATCTGCTCTTAACACAGGGAATTGTTGAGCCAATTGTGATGTACTGTTTTCCCTCTCTTGAGCAGCATTTCCAATCCCTAGACCTGATGAGATCTCCCAGGTTAGAGAGGAAGAGCCTTGGGTCCCAGATATCCAAGAGCCTCAGGAGTCTCAAGAGCCAGAAATCCTGAGTTTTACTTACACAGGTGAGGAATGACAGAGGGGTCTTACCACCCTGAGTGGCAGTTCCTCTGGCCAGTGCTTTTCTCTCCCTCTAGGACCCTTCTCTCATTGGTTCTTCTAACATGTCAATGAGTACTGCTGTCGCCCTCTGAAAGCCAAATTCTTCTGTCATTTTCTTCTTCTTCACTCCTCCCACCATTTGTTTGAGGGCTATGTAATGAAAACTGGTGAAAGGAAAATAAAACTTTTGGAATTGCAGCTATACCATTTACTACATAGTTCATGTAAACCTTTGATCCTTGATCTCTGCATTTGTAAAATGAGAATAGTGATATTTGTCCATGCCAAGGCTTGTTGATAGCATAACACATGAGAAAGTGCCTGGCACATGACAGGCATTCAGTTGACTGGTTATTTCCATATGGGCTTCTCTCTATAGGGTCTCGCCCTCCCAAAACTCTTTTTTAAAATCCCCCCATTGTGCAGAAGTCATTGTTGCCACTCTAATTTCCCCTTTTCTCCTCTCACCCTTTCTACAGGAGATAGGAGTGAGGAGGAAGAAGAGTGTGTTGAGCAGGAAGATCCAAGTTTGGAGGATGTACACAGGTCTATTTCAGGAGATACAGAAATTCACCAGACTCCAGATTGGGAAATTACCTTTGAGGATAATCCAGGTAGACTTAGTGAAAGAAGATTTGGTACAAATATCTCTCAAGTGAATAGTTTAATGAATCTTCGGGAAACCATGCCTGTTCATACCCTGTTAGGGAGACATCATGACTGTCCTGTATGTGGAAAAAGCTTCACTTGTAACTCCCACCTTGTTAGACACCTCAGAACTCACACAGGAGAGAAGCCCTATAAATGTATGGAGTGTGGGAAAAGTTACACGCGGAGCTCACATCTTGCCAGGCACCAAAAGGTTCACAAGATGAACACTCCTTGTAAATATCCTCTAAACCGTAAGAATTTGGAGGAGGCCTCCCCTCTGATCCAGGCTGAGAGAACTCCATCTGTTAAAACTGTTAAGAAACCCTATCGATGTGATGATTGTGGGAAACACTTCCGCTGGACTTCAGACCTTGTCAGGCATCAGAGGACACATACGGGAGAAAAACCCTTTTTCTGTACTATTTGTGGCAAAAGCTTCAGCCAGAAATCTGTGCTAACAACACACCAAAGAATCCACCTTGGAGGCAAACCCTACTTGTGTGGAGAGTGTGGAGAGGACTTCAGTGACCACAGGCGGTACCTGGCACACCGGAAGACACACGCGGCTGAGGAGCTCTATCTCTGCAGCGAGTGTGGGCGGTGCTTCAACCACAGTGCAGCATTTGCCAAGCACCTGAGAGGACATGCGTCAGTGAGGCCCTGCCGATGCAACGAATGTGGGAAAAGCTTCAGTCGGAGGGACCACCTCGTCAGGCATCAGAGAACACACACTGGGGAGAAGCCGTTCACATGCCCTACCTGTGGAAAAAGCTTCAGCAGAGGATATCACTTAATCAGGCATCAGAGGACCCACTCAGAAAAGACGTCCTAGCTAGGTCCCCGTGTGAGGTCTGCATTCAGCTCTCATCTGAAGGATGTGAGGGGTAGGAAGAGCCCTTTTGTCAGCCTGGGAAGTCCTTTTCTAGGGAGTTTCCCTGACCTGCCCAGATCTTACTTCACCTCTTCCCACAACTAAATAAGCCCTCGGTGGAACCTCTCAGCCTTCTTCTACGCCTTGAGGAGATGTTTTGCCCAAAGTACAAGCAGAATTGAGGCTTCTTTTTCACAGGAGTGCTCCTGCCTCTACCTCCTGGGTATGAAATAGGAGAACCAGAAGACTTAAGAGGTTATAGTTACTGTATTGTCCAAAAAATAGGCTGTTACATATCTTAAAGACTACATAACAGCCTCAAGTTCAAAGTGGCCAAGGATAGCCCCTTAGGATAGGTAAGGGACCAGCCTGAAGGATTCTGTCCTTACTGGGCTCAAATCTTAAAGCACACAGCTCTGAACTCAAGACAGGAGGTTTGCATCCTGATGGCTTTGCCACGTACTCACAGAATAACTGACAAATCCGTCGCTGTCTGATTCACTTCTTACCATGCACTTTCCTTTGATGCTGGGGAGAAGTGGACAAAAACCTCAAGGCTGCTTCAAATGGACCTTGTCAAGCTGCTTCCTCCCCCTTTGTCAAAATGATATCAGGTGCCAGACACTGCTAGAAAGGAGGGCCTAGTCAGAAGCCTCTTTCCTTATGGGTTTTTTTTTCTGTTAAAATTCGCCTTTAGCCTTCTTACTATTCAGCCAGTCTCTTGGTTTTGTCCCTAGCACTTCTACTACATGTGAGATGTAGCATTTGGGTGGTGAGGGATTCAGTAAAGCATAATTAAATCATGAAATCATTTACATTCCCACATATGTACAAACCCACCCACCCCTCCCCAGCCCCTTCACATGGGCTGTGTGAGGGATTTTGGAACAGTGTCAGCCTACAAAGGCACTATAATAATTACAGAATCTTGATTGACTGGGTCATTTCATTTATATGAAGAAAACTGAAGATCAGACTATGGAAAGATGAGAAAAAGCTCTTGCTGCTGGCCAAGACCATCAAGACTATTCTGACACCCAATCCCCATCATCCTTGAATTAGTTCTCTGATATCATGGGAAATTATGAACCCCAGCACCTGGGACCCTGAGGAATTTACCAGGAGTAAATGGCTTTCATGTATTTGTGTTGTTTTCATTTTCTTAATGTGATTTCATTTTCATGTAACTAAGAACTAAATAGTAGTATCACTGATGGCCCGAGGATCTCTGGTTGCCTATTAAAGGTTCCATGGAGATTAGGCTGAATAGTTATGACCTTCACCTACTCTAATTGTAGGAATGGCAAGGACTGGGGAGATGACCTCCATGAATGGAGCACAGGGTACAGGGTTAATGCATGAGAGGGAGACAGCCTTCTGTGTCTCGTTCCTTCTGCTCTGATTCACAATCCACAATCCATTGTGGGCCAGCATATACCAGAGATTATGGGGGAGTTAATAAGACCCCAACCCTAATAGACCAATAAGGAAATTCTCATTTTCTTCAATAATGATATTCTGATGGACTGGTTTGGTTTTAATGCTAGTCAACCATCGTCCTGCTGGAAATATGCACATATGAAATAAATGTAACACAGCCATGTTCCCTGGTTTCTGGGACTTTTCCATCTTACCTATTCCTATTCCAGGACTTCAAGGTCCAGATGCTTCTGAAGGTCATTCATACACACATATCTGAAAGTACAGAGTAGTTTTCTATGAGGATAGGTAGGAAAGGCTTGGAATGGTTAGCTGAGCCACAGGTGGAATATTTGCACACTGAGATGGGATCCAAGCCTGGAGTTTGCAGAAGACACTATCCTGACATGCAGGCATTTCTCAACCATGTATCTAAAGTCTAAGCATGTTTGTCCTGGATGAAATGTCATAGCCTCAAAAGATAATTTCTCCTAGCTCGTACTTAACCATTTATAGAAGTTGATGACATACTGGAGGTGACAGAGCAAATTGACTTTCTATTTTCTGATCTATCTGCATTATTGAAATCAGTGAAAAATCTGTCAAGAGTATTCTACATGAGGGAATGTTTGAGAGCCTGGTCCAGTTTGTTGGAACATCAAATGTTTTTCTATTGCTGATTGCCCTGCAAAGTTTCATATGCTGACATTAAACCTCTGGTCCCTTTTGTAAATTAATGAATTTTATGAGGTTCCTGGAGGAATATGCTGTCTCCCAAATCTGAACATAAAACAGAACCACAGTTTGCAGGAGCAGCTGGGAAGCAGCGGCACAGCTGAGCATGAGAGGGGAGGCTGGAGCACAGGACATGCATTTAGGAGGATCCCTCTAGAATCGTTGGGACAGGAGAGTCCTAGTAACCTCGATTACAATACTAAATAAAAATTTCTGAAGAAGAAAAAGGCAGGATTTTAAAGGTATTATTTGGAGGAAGCTATAGAGTAATCTGGGAAATTTTGTGTTAATAAGAGTATGAAATTAAAAGGGACAATAGTGTAGTTGACCAGGTAATTTAGGAATAACTAAGGAATATTATGAAATCCCAAAAGAAATGTCAAGAGTTAAAGGGAAAATATATTTTTATTATCTGAGACTTAGGCCTCATATTCCAGAGTAGAATCTAGCAAACTCAGGTGAACTCCATGGAGAATTTCATAAATTGGTCTAACATCAGATTACTAGAACTGAAACCCACTAAAAAATTTGTTGCCTTCTTCTCCAAAGTCCAACTCAAGTAATGGATGCGAAGTGGGCAGAGACCATTTGTTCCACTCCTGTCCAGTCAGGGCAGCAGCCTCTATCTAGGTCACCCTGCTGCGTGAGAAAAATAATATATTTAATAAATATTCTTTAAAAACGCATTTTGGTTATCCAGGCTGTTGGACAACAATCCAAATGAGAGGGTTAATTGGGCCCCATGATGGCTTTGTAGAACTAAAGCTGGACTGAGAAATAGTAACTGAGGCCATGCTGCGCAGGTTAGTAATTTGGTGCCCTTCCACACCAATATTTTAAAAATTGTTTTACCTCTTGCATCCCCATCTGCCAACCTCAGTATTTCTTCTAGTCACAATAACTCTGATAGATAAATACCTACAAGTATTTCCGTCTCCTTTTATTTCTAGTGATGTTGCCTGACTGACTCACTAATCTAGCTTATGAGAAAGACTAAAAGAGCCACAAAGTGGGTGCCCACCCATATGCTCACTAACCATTTTCGTGGCAAAGTAACTAATCTAATGTCCTGAGACTTGAACACATCTTAAATGTGGAATGACTTGATTCACCGTTGAAGTCCTGAGGAGCAGGAAAGGAAAAGTCAAGCTCAGTTTAAATACCATCTTTGTTAATTATCTTTAATAATAAGAAACAGAGTGTCAGGGTAGCAACAGTAAAGACATCCTATAATGTGCAATTCCTACTCTTATTAGTGCATGTATATAGAGGAGAAGGTGCATGCATTGTGCTCATAAGCTCACGTGTAAGCACATATGCACTCATAGGTTTCAGGTACAAGGAAGAATACAATTCGAATTCTTAAACGGAGTCAATCAGCAAAGACTATTTGGTAATCTATAAAAATAGGGACTCTTCAGAGGAGATAGGGAGCTACAGAATAAAACTGCAGAGTTCTATCAAGACTTCCATAAGCTATAGTAGTAGGTAACTGAAGCAAGAAGATAATCCAACCCTCTGCAAAATGGTGTGATGACAACAAAATCTCCATTTAAATAGAGTGCAAATTTTAGTAATGTTCTGTGCAGAATATAACAATGCCGCAGAAAGGCCATCTGCACAGGAATATAATCAAAACTACAGTCTCAAGATGTTCTGTAAGACTACTGCTCTGTCTCTTGTCTGTGGTTCCTTCGTGAGTTACACATCTTACCATCTCTTAGATAAGTCCAAGGGACTATTTGTCAGAGAAGATTTCAGGAAGAGGACTACAGCAGTTGGTGCTTGAGTTCATTTACTGAATCTCTGCAACAGGTCTACAGAGAAACAGTTCCAAGCCAAAGGAGTTGTGGGGCAGTTGGAATCATCCATCCAAACAATGAGGAATTAACCCTGAGCCAAGAAACATCAGCACAAAAGCAGAAAACTGGGTCAGCAAAAAAGGGAAGATCTCTGCTTCCTTCATTGCCTCCAACAAGATATTCTGAAAGGCCCTCTATTGAAATATAAATACACTTTTAATAAACTAAAATACAGAATAAAAATAGCATGTAATTTGAGATAGGGTGAACTGAATTTAAGTGCTTTAACATTTGTTAATTTTCAGGACAAAAGCTATAAAATAATAGTTAACTTCACCATTGTTAAGTACACACTTTACAGTATCAAGGATACTCATTATAAGAAAGAAAATAGAGTAAATAATTTTCTAAATAGTGGAGGAAAAATTGAGAATAAGAATTTAAAACCAAAAAAAAAAAAAAGTGAGACAGTAATTCAGATTGTTTAAAGAAAGATAAAAAAAAAATTTACTAAAATTAGGTTAAAAAATAGAACTACAAAGATGACAGAAAGCTCAAAATATGAATAAAATAGACTAACTAGTAACTCATTTTTTATTGAAAGGATTTTAATGACTTTATTCAGGCCAGGCACGGTGGCTCACACCTGTAATCCTAGCACTCTGGGAGACCGAGGCAGGCGGATCAGATTGTTGGAGCTCAAGAATTCAAGATTAGCCTGAACAAGATCAAGACCCCGTCTCTACTAAAAAAGTATAAAGAAATTAGCTGGACAACTAAAAATATATAGAAAAAATTAGCCGAGCATGGTGGCACATGCCTGTAGTCCCAGCTACTTGGGAGGCTGAGGCAGAAGGATCGCTTGAGCCCAGGAGTTTGAGGTTGCTGTGAGCTAGGCTGACACCACGGCACTCTAGCCTGGGCAACAGAGTGAGACTGTATCTCAAAAAAACAAAAAAATGACTTTATTCAATATACCTAAGTAACAAAAGAATCACAAATACAAAGTAACAAATGATATATCTATTATGTTCTAAATTCCATAATTATTACTGCTGATGGTAGAATTCATGAGCATGGTAGAAAAGATCAATGGGTGATTAGACATCTTTTCCATAGGAATGTTTCCAACTGAAAACAGCTATGTTTCTTCATAAATTATTTTTCTTGCAAAAGGAGAAAGTATTTTTTAGATAATTTCAGCTATATTCTTTGGCCTATGGATAGCATCTCTTTTTAGATTCCATCTGTCTCAACTATAAAAATACCTTGAGATTGCAAGCTATAATAATTATCATCATCATCATTATTATTATTATATAATTCATGCTACCTTTGTTCCAAAAGACCCATCCAACCTCAAAAGATTTGCTGAGGTTGCTGCCAAATATCTGTCAGGTCTGTTTATGTGTCCGATTCCATTCAGCAAGGCTGTGTGCGTTAATCATAGTTCTTGGCCTTTGTGACAAACACAAAGTGAAATTAATCATGGTCTCTGGGCTGGAGGAGCTGCACTGTAGCAGGGAAGATAAAACATACACATAAATAATTACAAGTGTGCTATAGGCTGCAAAAGTAGCATAAGTAAACTCTGGAAGGATGTTGGAAAGGGTGTGCCTACTTCCAGTGGCGGTATATGGAGATTCGCAAGCATTAAAGGATAGATCAGTCAAGGCAAGGAGGCAGAGGAGAGGGGAGGGATGCAGCGAGGTAGAGGGGAAACCAAAAATAATCCCACCTTCCAAGACAGAGAATGGAAAAACTTTGGTAACTATCATTTAAGATAGAGAGTACTAATGTGGGCAAAAAGTAAATTATAGCAATAGAATACATACAAGAGATAAAAAAAATATATAAAAATAGTGAAAAATTAAAAGGACTGAAAAGATATACCAGGAAAATACTGATCAAAGAAAGCTAAAGGAGTTACTTTAATATTGAACAAAAAAAATTTTTTTAAGCAAAAAACATGAGAAGTCAGTCCTCTACATGATTAAAAGTTGAATCTACCAGGAATATACATTTCTAAATTTCAATGTGCCTCAAATTGTATAACAAAAATATGATAGAATTACATGGGAGAATTGATAAATCCATCATTTAAATGCACCTCTCCCAGTTATTGATAGATAAAGCAGGTGAAAAACCAGTGAGGATACAATTACACAACACAATTTAATATCTTA